AAGGATTTCTTGCCAACACACTGAACTATAATTTCAACACAGTGCAATCAATATAATGACCATGAATTCCTCAGGCTGTAACATATTAGGCTACATTTGAAAAGATGATTGCCTCAGTTGGGTTGATAATAAAGGCTTCTCTGTAGATAAGGGTGCTTAATCTTTCTCAAACTGAACAGATCTTGGCTGTAAATTGAAATCCTCTTTTCACAAATCCTTTCTGCGACTTCTCTTTCTCAGTGTTTCAGTCTTCATGCTTTTCTTCACCTGCATCTGATGACCAGTTGAAATAAACTCGATAAGTTCAACTTGTTGGGGAAAAAAGCTTCGAATGTATCATGAAGATTTTCTCATTCAAGTGTGTAAGGGTATTATCCAGTTGTCAACTCTTGATTACCTATGTATAGACTTGAATTCCTGGTGATAGTTTAAAAATTATATGGGAACTTAAACTGGTATTTATGCGTATTTGGTAGTTAGAGCCCAAATTATACTACTGCCACAAACAAATTGGTTAAGATATGTGGTAAATCATGTAGAGTAAATCTCGCAGATTTATCATTGTACTCTTTTCTTTAAAGCTTTTTAAAAATTATTTGTAAAGGTGAATGTAAATCACGAATTGGCTTTTAACACTCACTCTCACTCATTCATGTTTAACAGGCTGAAGATTTTCCAAAAGGGGGAGCTACTGGCCCTTTCGTATAGAGAGTTGCACTGCAGTACCATGGATTTTTGTGGAAATCCAGTGGAATGGGAACACAATAAAAACAATCTGTGGTAACAGCATAAACATGGATGACACTATATGCTTGTTATTTTTACTGTCACATGAATGAATCTACTGCACCTAAACCAAACAGACTCTTAGCTAGCCAGCACAGATTACCACAGGGGTATGTTTGTAGTGATTTTTGAATTTTGAATGTATAGTTCTCGAAGGTCAATTTTAAGCAGCAGTTCAAGGTATGAATTTAAATCTTGTTTTTTGTTAATATTTTGTTATGCTTAATATGTAAAACTCTTATACTCAGTGTGGTTACAATGTAAATATTATTAGCAATTATGTCATAGTGCTTTTAAGTTTCTTTAATTTGATTAGAAGGTCCATCCATCCATTTTCTGTACTGCTTATCCTACATAGGGTCGGGTGAAGCCTTTAGCCTATCCCAGGGGACATTACAGGGGACACCCTGGATGGTGTGCTGACCCATTGCAGGGCAAAATCTCTCTCACACACTCACTTACACACACACACACACACACACACACACACCCCACCCAATTTAGTGATGCCAATCAGCCTACTGTCACGGATTTCCTCTCTCGCTGAGCACTGTAGCATGAACTACTGAAGCATGAAAGCACGTGTGGTGGTTACAAAAATAAAATAAATAAATAATAGTAAATAAATCATATGATTGAAACAAGAGAATGTATTTCTTGAATATCAGGTAGGCTAGGAAATGTACATAAATGTATAAGAATGTTCTCTTAATATGTCAAAGTTATGAGAAATGTAAATGTTATCATTTAATGTGTTAAATAAATGATTGTTATCATAAATTGAAAAATTAGATTCAAGTTCATTCTGATTGTGCTATAGTTTTACATTCCTTGCTAATGATACCATGCGGTCTGAGAAATAGCTTGATAATGGGATAAATTCACAAATATAATGTGTTTCTGATAAATAATGCAACAATTATGAGTTATAAGTTGTGGTTGACTGTGTATTAATAGGAGATGTATTGTTTCACGAAGATAAGTTGATGAATATGTTCTTATTAAAAATGTGTTAAATAAAATATACTATAATAATTTTTGCTGACAGTGTTCACAATTTCAGAGTCCATTCAAGTTTACAAACACTGGGAACGTCACGTGTTTATGCTGTTATGCAGAATGTTCTATATGTATTTTATCTGTTATAAATTTATATTATATTACAATTATATGTTCAATTTTGTGGAAACAGTGGTCAATGAACAGCTGTATGCAAGTAATTTTTTTTTGTAATTTATATTGTGATTTCTCTTAAAGTGATGTTTTGTCGCCCCAAGTACGTTGACATGTAAACCTGCAAAAATGGCTTAGTGGTTAGAACTTTCCAGGGTCTGGGGTTCGATTCCCGCTGGGGCCATGTGTGTACGGAGTTTGCATGTTCTCCCTGTGCTGCGGGGGTTTCCTCCGGGTACTGCGGTTTCCTCCCCCAATCCAAAGACATGCATGGTAGGCTGATTGTTGTATCTAAAAGTGTCCGTAGTGAATGAATGGGTGTGTGAGTGTGTATGTGATTGTGCCCTGTGATGGACTGGCACCCTGTCCAGGGTGTACCCTGCCTTGTGCCTGATGCTTCCTGGGATAGGCTCCGGGTTCCCTGTGACCCTGAAAAGGAGTAAGCGGTAGAAGATGGATGTATGGATGGATGGATCTCCCCTCATCAGGTGGTGAGGGTGTTACATGCGCGGTTCCGGGTTTTCATTTGTTTACTTTGACATGTGGTTTTGTTTTGGTTTTGCTATTATGTTATTGGCTATTTCCCAATGTATCTTAGCTGTCCTTGATTGCCTTGATTATGTTGTATATTTAAAACCCTTATATTTGGTGCGAATTATTGTTTCTGTGTTTTGCCACCAGTATGCTACTGAGCCATCTGTCCTGTGGTTCTCAGTCCATGGTTTTTGATCCAGTTTTCGTTGTAGGTTGTTATTCTCATTTAAGCCCTGTTTTGCCTGTTTGCTGATTGCCTGACCCCTCGCCTTTTTGTGACCCTGATATTGTTTTAGATTTGTCTGCCTGTCTCTTGATTAAAAGCTTTAATTGCACTTGCATCCATCTCAAATCCCTGTTTACATGACACCTATATTACAGGTCTTTGTTTCACACCACTTCTTTGCTTATTTTCCTATAACAGCATATTGCATTATATTATATTCTCTACTCAAACTGGAATGTGAATTATGAATAGTCTTATATATTTAAATATGCTTTACACAGACAAAGTGGAACAGTGTGCAGGATACATGGGGTTCAAGGTTATGATATTTCTGATTATCACTTTGAATATTTAACCAATCCTTCAGGCTTAAATGAGTAGCTGCAAAGAAATTAATCAGGGGAACTCTTTGTTGCACGAGTGATAGACAATTGGGAAGCTCTTAATGAAACACAAGTGATGAAAACCAGTGCAACCAACCACACATACCAAAATAAAAATTTCCTGGTAACCAGATATCCTTGTGGAATAAGGCACCTGCCTAACTCCCTTGCAAATGGCCTGAACAGCACTGGTGTGTTAAAACACTAAAAATACCATGCACTACTCATGCACTCTTTTTTTTTTTTTGCTTTATGAATTTGATTTGGCTCTATGCCATTAGTACATTGTCATTATGTCCAAGATGAGAACCACTAATGCAGACACTTTAGGTACTTTTATAGCTAAATAAAACTCAGTGAAGATGATTTCCGGACAAATTTAAGCAGGAAATGAGTTTTGATCTATCTATTCAATAAAAGTAGCTAAAATATTGCAAAATATAAAACACTATCAAAGAGCTAAAGGCTTTAAAAAGGATAAAATCAAGACAGAAGCCAAGCAATAAAAGGAACAAAAGGGTTGTGTGGACTGTTATCACAAAATAATGAGAAGATACATTCATTTTATGGTTGTAATGTGAAATCACTGCAAACCCAAGGCAAAGTGAATACCCTTGCTCCTGTGTCTGAAATGGCTTCCTGGAAACAAAGACCTAACAAAGGCAAGACAGTAAAATAGTGTTTTTAACCACATAAAATAAATGAATAGAAGTCTAAATAAGCAGTTAGGCAATGTGCCATGAGCTGCATTAGACTTTAGAATATTATAACGCTATTTATAAAATGGCAAAGATTAATCAATGTGATTGCCTACAATAAAATGAAGGTAAGCCTACCATAAATATAAAATCATCATGAGACTTATATGAACTCACTGTCTTCCATATAATGCACAACATTCATTAAACAGGACTCATTTTGATGTTAATCCAACACTAATTAGTGTTATAAATACAGATAATAAAATGCCATAAACATGAGCTTCCATGCATAATGTCCAGTCAACCTGATGCTTTATGAGATAATGCACCATTGTGTTTCAAATTATATCCAACTATTAAAACATCAATGTGAATTGTTGAATAATAATAAAACATATACAGTTTAATCACAATGATATTGCTACATCTCAGGCTGTTGCCACCTCTTGCTTATAGGACCAGTACAAATGAACAAAAATATTTAGACTAATAAATCAATGCTCCCCAATGGTCTATACCAATAATGTGACAACCAACCATGTCCTGTAGTTCAAAAGAGCATAATTAGACTTGGTTTCTTGGTGAGAAGCTTCGGTGTGATAGGACATATTGAGATAGGAAGAGGCAGCAACAAAATTTGTAAGAAATAGACATTTAAAGAGTAATTAATAAAATAATCTAATTTAAACTTAAAGTTGTTTGTATATGTACATACATGTATGTTCATGGTACAGTCGCTGTAGTATGAAGTCGCCAGTAGGTATTCCTACTTCTTGTTGCCATAGTAACATTTATCAGTGAGTGTTGCAACTAGCATTCCATTATAACTAGTTCGGAATTGCAGGTAGTACAGGAGATGTGGCTGGATGAGGTCTTGTTCCAGCAGTATTTCAGGCTGAACAGGACCCCAAATTGCAAGGGAGGACAAAACTACTTATTTAATTTTTATATACTTACTATAAAAATCACTAGTTACTATAAAGCTTAATAATCCCACTATAATACTTATTATAATGCTATGATAACTGGTATGTTTTTCCACACATCATTTTTTAAAATTGTGTCTTTGTATGCGTTCACAGACATATCTTATAAATTGGCCATTTGCAAACTGCAAGAATGAATGGCTAAGACATGTGTGCTAGGATAGTGCAGCGGTAATGTGCTGGGTGTAATCGTTTTATTAAATGATATACGGTAGTGGTAGCTCAATGGTTAAGGCTCTGGGTTAATGATCAGAAGGTCTGAGGTTCAAGTCCCAGCAAGTCCAAGCCCCTGCTGGGCCCTTGAGCAAGGCCCTTAATCCTCCTCGTTCCAGGGGCGCTCTATCATGGCTGACCTTGTGTTCTGATCTCAGCTTCCGAGCAAACTGGGTTATGAAAAGAATTTCACTGTAATGTATATGTGACAAATAAAGGTTTCTATTTTCGTGTAAACCATAAGTAATATTTTTCTTAAATCTAACCAACCACGTATTCCATTTTTTTCAGGCTCGGCTATGTACACTCTGCTGCTTGTTGCAAAATGGTTCTGAGAGAGGTTCACAGATCCGTGGGCCAAGCACAAGCAGATCATGGGCTTCAGTACAAGAAACAGCACCATTTTGATGGTAAAAGCACATATGCTGGATACAGCATATGTCCTGGCAGAACTACTATATCTACTAGCAAGCCATGTTTGTTCAAATGAAACATGACCACACCCTACTGGTCTTTCTTGCACGCACAGCATGTGCGTGATACCGCATGATACCACAGGAAATCGCAGGATCCTTTTCCCTTTGATGCTCATTTTCAATGGACACTTCTGTAGTTGCCAATGGTCACTACTGCTCATATGGCAGAAGTTGCCAGCTTTCATTGAAAATTTATGGTCGCTGCATGTGTGAATGTAACTTTAGGGATAAAGTAGTTACTGGATATGAATGAATGAATGATTACCTGAATGAATGAAATGAATGAATGAAACATGCTCATTCACACATACAAGCAATTTGCAAGTTGCAGTAGCCAGTCCAGCCACCATGGTGAATTTTGGGACCAGGGAACTACATTTTTGCCATACCAGAATTGTGTGTGTGTGTGTGTGTGTGTGTGTGTGTGTGTTTGTGTGTGTATGTGTGTATGTGTTTATGATTTATGCAACAGTAGGATCTTCCTATTAAATATTAAACAATGCTCTTAACATCATTTTATCTCAATATATAAATGTTTAATTTTTGCAATATGGTTTGTCAGTTGAGTTCCAAATATTAAAACATACACATAAAAAATTTATGCAAGGACTTATTATAAGCAGACATTATTTTAGAGGAGATACTCAAATGAACATCAACTCAGCATTTGTAGCCTATAAAACTGTTTTTATCTTCAGTCATCTGACTCAGTGATTCAGCCGCCTACGAGTACTGATGATGTTTGTCATCATGATAGATGCTTGCATATAATTCATAACTTGAACATATGTTAAATGTGTAGAAAATGACTGGCTTGCCATATAACAGATAAAATTTGCATCAGTGGTTGGATTTTGGAACATAATGGCCAGTTATGGCAACAGCATGTGTATTGTAGGCCAAAAGTGGCCCAAAGATAAGCTGCCATATTTAACTGCATTTAGAATTTGGACAAATGCTTACATTGTATTTCAGATTTTGACATACAGTTTTAAACATACAGTCCAACTGAGGTGGGTTGAGGTTAGTGAGTGTGAGTTTGTTGCTGTCCTTCCACTGTAGGCGAGGTGAAGTGCTAAGTACGAGCCATCATTGGGTCATTACTCATATATCATCAGGGTTTGTCACTCACACATTAGAGAGTCATTTTGGCCAGTAAAGAACACGACTCTAAATACTGGCTGACCAATATTTGGAAACAAAGAAAAACAAAGTAGAAAACAGAAAAAACTCCAACAAACTATACTCAGCAAAAAAAGAAATGTCCTCTCACATTCAGCATAAACAGTCAAACATAAACAAGTTTGACATAAACATAAACAAGTTTCACAAGCATTTATGAACAGAAATGGAATAAGGCGTCCCTGAACAAAGGGGGGGGGGGGGGGGTCAATATCAAAAGTCAACAGTCTGAAGTCAGATCAACAGTCAGTATGTGGTCTGGCTACCAGCTGCTGTATGTACTACAGTGTACCTCATCCTCATGGACAGCACCAGATTTGGCAGTTCTTGCTGTGAGATGTTACCTCACTCTTCCACCAAGGCATTTACAAGTTTTCTATCACGTCTGGGTGGGACACATGTTTACATGTGGTTTGCCACTGCAAGGAAGATCAGCTGTCTTTCCTGTTTCCCTGTAGCACTGTCTTAAGCGTCTTACATTACATACATTGGAGTTTATTGCTCTGGCCACATCTGCAGTCCTTATGCCTTATGTCTTTAGTGTCCTAAGTTATTGTAACTGAAACCTTAATTGCCTACCGCCTGTAAACTGTTAGTGACTTAAGGACTGTTCCATAGGTGCATGTGCAATCATTGCTTATGGTTCATTGAACAAGTATGAAAAACCTTGTTTAAACCCTTTCCAGTAAAGATTTGTAAAGCTTATTTAGATTTTACATCATTATCTTTTAAATACAGTCTCCTGGAAAAGGGACATTTCTTTTTTTGCTGAGTTTATATAACTCATGTTAACCCCAATCTGCAAATTCAGTTTAAGTTTGAGAAATTCCCCAATAGTAAACAGGAAGCCAAGTCTGCAGAAGATGTTTACAGTAGCCCGGCAAAATCTTATTAAAAAGCAACAGACACTCTAACTGCATGGTTTAGAAGTTTAGTTCAGTGTACTCTCCAAGGTCCACAGTTTCTGAATCATTGGTCTCTAAAGTTTTGATACTTCTGATAAGCCCACAGCTGATAGCTGACCTTGAAATCAATATAAAGATACCAAAGTTTCCTCAGTTTCTTATCTGGCCTTGTAGCCAATCCAAAGGCACTCTAGCTCTATCTAATCCCACAGATGGCATCTAAATGGAGGAAAGAGAGAACAGCAGACAGTTCTAACTTGGTATTTTATTTATGTATTTATTTTCTAAATTGAACAACTGGAACTTGTGATTAAAAAATAGGAGTTTCTGGGGCTCATAAGTGAAGTATTAAATATTAAGGACACATCAGAACCGTACTCATTTTGTTATACTTTGAATGAAATGCTGACCTTTTAGAGGCAGTGTTCAATCCCATTGCATGGAGGCTACATAACATGAGAGTAAGCCTGAGCAAAATCAATATTGTGCTTAAAATATGAATAAAAGAAGAATAGCTCCAGGGTCCCTGGGTTGATTCTGAGCTTGGGTCATGCATGTGATCTCTGTGTCCACGTGAGTTTCCTACTGAGTGCCTTGGTCCCTCCCACATCACCAAAACATGCTAGTTGCCCCTAGGTGTGAATGTGTGTGTTTTCTCTCATTTTTACAATGCAGCACACAATATATACTTGTTACTCCCTCTTGTAGGGACCCTTTGGCCTGTTTAAACTGAATGAGTAACCAGCCAGGATCTATGTTCCCAAAAGCATCATAAAGTTAAGATGAACTTAAGTAATAGAAATAGCATTAATATGAGCTTGCTATATCCTCCAGTGATGTATTTTTGTGTTGATATGTGTTTGGGAAACTCAGGTCATATTCATTAGTTGCTTCACAGAGTTACAAATCTGGTTTGAAATTTAGAAGAGTTTTTTTTTTTTTTGATTGTTTTTGTTTTTTGCTCATTATGCAACAGATGTGCAGTGTTTGTACTGTATGTACTGTCTTGTTCTTTCTGCTTCAGCATGGATTTCTGCTGCAGCTGTACAGGAATATGTTTTGATCAGGAGCAAGAGTGAGTTGTTGAAGATGAAAGTGAGCTTTTCAGAGAGCCAAACTGAACTGGTGAGCCCTCATCATGGTTAATGTCACAGAGGCACTGCATTTCAACATTGAGATGGCAGAAGGTGCAGCTGAAATATACATCAGAGCTGAGCTCAGAGATCAGAGCAGTGGGATGAAGCTAGCAGCATGGAGAATCGGCTCATGGGTGAAGGAGATTTCTATTAAAGGTTTAAAATATCACTTTTCTGTGACTTTAGTTACTCTTACTACTACACGGTTGATTATTTTCCTATAACAGCATGTCCCAAAGCGTTTTGTTGCACTAACACAACAGGAATTTGCTTATAAAAAACAATTTCTTAAAAGTACTTAAAGAAAGAGACATGGTACTTTTTTCTCCATTAATGGTTTCACACTTAACATCATGAAAACATCGACAAAAAAGTTTCTATTATCACTTACATTGTAATAGATTTAAATAGCCATCTCCTAACCAGCCTCTATTTTATCCTCTTGCTCTTAAAGTTGTCTTCTTTCCTGAAAACTCTCCCATGGCAGAAAACTTACTGAATATTATAAATGACATCAATAACTTACATAAGTTTTAAAAAAATAAATATATTTTTATAGAAAGCTTTACCATATCAATGATTTAACATGTTTCTTTGTTAAATAGTAAATGTCTTTTTAATTGTGCTTATTAGTCTCAGATTATGTGGAGCAACCATTACACCAGTTCATGTCAACGAACTGTAAATATAGAAATGATAAGCTATTGGAAACCTTTGATTGTGTGTGTGTGTGTGTGTGTGTGTGTGTGCGTGTGTCTGCACTGGATGCAATTTTTTCCTTCAAACTGAGTCTAATTAAATAAATATGGATCTATAAATCAGTTTGCCACTAGAATTGTGAGATGAGGACTATAATATCTGAAGTGAAAGCAGAATCAATTCAAAGCAGTTCATAGGACAGACATTTTGGCCACCAAGGACTAAATTGTTTGGGCTGATAATTGCTAAAAATGCAACAGGAACGCCAACAACACAATTTTGCCTCGATGTATTCTAAAAATTATTTTTAGACATTTTAAACAAAATTCGGAATTAGATCTAATCACAATTTATGAAAACATAGGCTGTCACAAACAATGGGAATGTGTAAATACAAACAGAGTATCTACAGTATGATGAACAGAACCATTTCTATTCTAAGATATATTGTGAAGATTGGGAGAGGGAAAAGCGGATTATGGAGTGGATAGTGTCTGTAACAGGTGATGATAAAAAGGAGTATTGCACATATCGCAAATCAAACTTTCATTGCTACCATGGTGAACTTCTGAGAAAAAGGATAGTTTTCAAGTGTTATAATTTTTTGAAGTTTTTACTTTTTCAAGTAGTTGGGCAGGAAATTTTGCTGGGACCTGACATCCCTGGATGTCCT